TGAACTGGTAGGTTTCAAACTTGTGCTATCACATTATCTCTTGATCGTTGTGATAATTTAATGTTTAATTGTGCTGGGGGGGAGCGAAAATTGAATAGAATTAGTTTCTAGTTGTTGACAGTTTTCAAACTGACGATCGTTTATAATGAAACAGGATTATAATATTGAACAATATAACTGTTATTATAAGACGAATAGACAGATGACTTGTGATAAATAATCGAACATGAATGGTAGCGTCTTTGGTTGAATGAATGAATGATATTTGTAGGTCAACATAATCAGTTGAGTTGATTCAAAGCCCATTGTACAATGCTTGAAGAGAGTTGAACAAATAGAATGTTATTTACGAAATGTAATTCTGGCTAAAGAAGACATCCCCCCTATATCGACAAGTACACAAATTCAAACCCCCCTAAAATGACTTCAGTATGATATTAAGCCTATCATTAGAACTATATAACCAGGTAGACCAGTTTGATTAGGAAAACATCAAGATTTTAAAAATATCAGCTGATTACTGAAAACACGAAATTCAAGTCATTCTGCAATCAATAGATACATTGATATTGACATTAGTTACCGATGGAAATGGAAAAGAACCAAACAATCATCAGGTCAGTGTTTAATCAAGCAGAACAATTCAAACACAAAAAAATGTGAAATTGAGAAAGATGAAAACATTCCATTGAAGTAAACAATCTTTGGATTAAGCCATGAAGATAGATCAACGTAGGGTTTGTGGAATGACTAGATGCTTTTTATATAAGTGAAGTAAACAATGATTATTTTGTCGAGAACGATAAAGTTTGTCACCATCCACCTGAAAACTGCTATGATACATAATGGGATTTTCAGTATAGGGTTGTAGACATTATTGAGTTTTGATTGAGATCACTATGGTTAAGCAGAATACTATCAAAGTGTAAGTCGATGATTTACATGCTCAACTTTTAACTATCCTTAAATTCTGTAATTAACGAAACCCTTCTATTTCCTCCAACTTATCTATCTGATTAGGCAGATCACTACTTTCGATTGAAATGTCTGGAAATTCATTTCGTAATCAGTCACTTATGTACATGTTATTATATCCGTATATGAATGGTTACTTCCAGGACTAATTTATAGACTATTATTATATATGTATTTGTATTGTATAATTATTAAGCAAATAGACTATATATATATGTATTGTATGATTTTATGATTTATTATCCCTAATCTGTTGTCAGTCTTATTGTTGTCGCAATGGGGTTTTTTTATAGACATTAGAGTGATTTTAGTAGTTAAAATCATGAGTCAGTTGAAACTAGATGATTATGGAAAACGTTGGAGCATTAGAAGGCAGTTTCGTCCTATCGTAAGACTCCTCAGCAGTGCGCATCCACGATCCCGCCTCGCGAGATTCGAACCCAGGTCCTATCAATCTAACGTACGATCGCTTAACTACTAGACTACTGAGCTAATTGGGATCCAATGGTGTTAATGTCTAACTTCAACTACTCCACGAAATTGATCAAGACATCCACCATTTACTTTATTATTGATTGTCTACTCTAAACATAGCCACTTTTTAGCTTGATCATATATAATATTTATTTGCTATTCTATGATGTGATGAAGTCTCTTCCATTTCTATTTAAACTACATTTGTTTGAAATACAGATACATTGTAGGTTAACTACTAATTACTGGATTGAAGGGTTCATGATATAGGAATTCGAGAATCATGATCTAATAGGAACTTACTGTGGACTAAACAGGTGATTGGTAGTGTTCAACAGATTCCAACTGATATTTTGTTATGTGAATTTTGACAGATCACCATAAGCTAAAACACCTATCATGTGTTTTAGATGATTTTGAGAAAACATAATATAATTTGATGGTAACTTTGATTGTAAAATAACGTTATCTATAGTTCTAAACTTTGGAAGTGGATGAGATATACACTACAGAGATCATCAAACTACATCACGAAACAAGCACTGACTTGAAATCCTGGATGGAAACCGAAAAATAAAGGCTAAAGAACACACTGCTTCGGGAATTCGAAGCGGACATGAAAAGGATGAATGTCAACTGGGAAGGATTGTTAAGAACAGAGTTGCAAGGAAAATGCTGGTGGATGGCCCATGCTCCTCGACCAGGGATAACAGGCATAAGTAAGTCATTAAGTAAGTAGGTAAGTAAGCAAATAAGGAACGAACGAGCGAACGAACGAATGAACGAAGGAATGGACGAAAGAACGAACGAAGGAAGGATGGAACAAACAAACGAACGAACGAACGAAGAATTCTAAACTGATATAATGATCTGTTAAGTGTAACTTTAATGTCTTTAATAGATCTTTGTAAGTAAAATCTTTGAGTGATGACAATGACGTAAAATTAATAACAATAATTATAATAGTTGTGTACTCATTAGTGACTGGGTCCAGGAGTAAAATGTGATGGTCTTTAGTTTAATGCCATATATTATTACATATTACCATTGAAATTATAGAACCAAACAAATCAATTACTCAATGGTTATTACCTGTATTTAATAGCTAAATGAACAAACAACATAATATTGTTAAAATTGAACGGTACCAGGTTCGAGTCCCCGAAAGAATATCAACTTTGAGATTTAGGTATATCCAATCGATAAGTTACAAATAGGATAAAATGCATATTACCAGTATTGGGGTTGTGGAGATTGTTAAGTTTTTGATTGAGATCATGAATCGACCGATGTTAGACCACCGTTGGAAACCTGCAAGCACTGGACAGCCGTTTCGTTCTAGTATGGGACTCCTCAACAGTGCGCATCCATGATTCTGCTCGCAGGATTCGAACCCTGGGCCTTCGGTCTCGCGCGCGAACGCTCAACCTAATGGACCACTGAGCTGGCATCCAATGGTGTTAGTGCCTAACATCAACCAATTCACGAAATTGCGCGACCATCCGTGTCGGGTAGAGGCAGGTATCTACCTCAGTACAATGGAAGATGGTTGCGCAATTTCGTGGATTGGTTGATGTTAGACACTAACACCATTGGATGCCGGCTCAGTGGTCCAGAATGTTAAGCGTTCACGCGCGAGACCGAAGGCCCTGGGTTCGAATCTCTTTGTTATGGGATCATGGATGCGCACCATTGAGGAGTCCCATAATAGGGCGAAATGGCCTTCCAGTGCTTCCAGGTTTTCAACGGTGGTGTAACATCGGTCGATTCATGATCTCAATCAAAATGCATAATCTAGATCCCACTACTAACCATCATTCATCTCTGCTTATAATAGTAATAATAATAATAATGACTATTATTATTTTCCTGTATACTTGAATACTGATTACATAATAATGAAAAATGATAGACTATAGGACTAGATATAATTTTGATGAATGTAATCTATGTATGGTACAATTACATAACAATTTGTCATATTCAATCTATCTCATTATTCTTATTAGAATAGAATAAAACAATAATACAGTTCCGTTAATTATTAATGATGATACCCTATTAAATCATTCAAGTCATAAACTGATCGGTATAGATTTGATTTTTTTCTTTTTCAATAATCAAATAACTATCCCTCTTGTGGGATCGTGGATGCTCACTGCTGAGGAGTCCCACAATAGGACGAAACGACCGTCCAGTGCTTCGAGGTTTTCAATAGTGGTCTAACATCAATCAGTTCATGATCTCAGTTAAAATTTAAACAACAGTTAAATTCTTGTTTTTCTATGATGTTTACTACTGATATCGATAGTTATAAGTAGTATATTATGATTAATCGAAAGTGAAATGCTTGATGGTAGAGAAGGTTAAGAAGATTGAAGAGAAGAGAACAAGAACAGAGAATGATTGATATAGAAATGGAAGAATAATGAAGTCTGAAACGATTGATGAATATTTTGTGAATAAAGTATTCACTCAGGTTTCACTGATTGTCCCCTCCTTCACTACACTACGTCACCTTATGAAGAACACTATACTCGTAGACTGCGTCCTAGATATCCTTTTAGAGATTATACTCCTATCGTCTACCTTTTCAACAGCAGATTTCCTAATAGAAAATGCAATGCAGACAATAAATTCTTGTTTGATGAAGACTTCTGGAAAACTTAGAGTCTTTGAACTACCTTAATTCACAGTGCAGGCATGTCAAGGGTGTTATTCTCTCCCTCCAAATTGAAAATCCTGCTTCGGGATTGGTCTACGTCAACGTCAAAATTAATGATAAGTTATAAAGTTGTTGAGTGGGTTGACCGTTTCACCAATATTGAAAGTTTCGTCAATTCTGATGAGTTGGTATCTGGTGAAATTTCAACTTACATCACTTGTAGAGTAGGCGAGATAGCCTTATCCAATCAATGACTTCATAAACCAATACCATGTCTTAGTTTGGACGCTTTTAGCTTTCTTCCAATCTATCTCTTGAATAGCAAGCATCACTCGTTGAAGTAGGCGGTAGTTGCTTATACGTAATACATGTTCTAACTACATCAGTCAATGAAAGTTTATGTCTTCATCAACCGACTTACTACTTTTTTCCTAGTAACCTATACCTACCTCCAACTTTGCTCATCCTTTCATTCCACAGTCGATAAGCAATGTTTCAAAAACATTTAATATCAACAAGCGAACTCATATATTCTACTTCTATAGACATTGTTTAATAACCATAAAGTAACATAGAATTGAAAATACTTAGCTGTATACTAGCCCTTTGGTTGTCAGACCATAGAACTAAGTATTTATGATATCAATCTCATTATAGGTAGTCGATTAAGTCATTTATTGAACAAAGAGTCCATGTGTCAACAGTAAGTAATCTAATACCCTACTTACTATATAACATAATAATGTTAATATAAACCCTTTTTTTTTAACACTGACATATATATTAGTATTTATTCATTCAATATAAACATTAGAATATATTATGCTAATTAAAATATACTACTTATAATTCATCGTTTATTACTTAAATGGAACAGAACTAAACTTTATAAAATATACTCTGATTTACAAGGTTCATTGTTCGTAATAGTAGTAGTAGTAGTAGTAGTAGTAGTAGTAGTAGTAGTAGTGGTAGTAGTAGTAGTAGTAGTAGTGGTAGTAGTAGTAGTAGTAGTAGTAGTGGTAGTAGTAGTAGTAGTAGTAGTAGTGGTAGTGGTAGTAGTAGTAGTAGTAGTCGTAGTAGTAGTAGTAGTAGTAGTAGTAGTAGTAGTAGTAGTAGTGGTAGTAGTAGTAGTAGTGGTAGTAGTAGTAGTAGTAGTAGTGGTAGTAGTAGTGGTAGTAGTAGTAGTAGTAGTAGTAGTAGTGGTAGTAGTAGTAGTAGTAGTAGTAGTGGTAGTAGTAGTAGTAGTAGTAGTAGTGGTAGTAGTAGTAGTAGTGATAGTAGTAGTAGTAGTAGTAGTAGTAGTAGTAGTAGTAGTAGTAGTAGGAGGAGGAGGAGGAGGAGGAGGAGGAGGAGTACTAATCTGTAGTAGTGCACTGATGAGCGTACGTTCATCTATCTGTAGCAATAAAATTATAATACAACTGTCAAATTAATATTCATTAATGTTTCCATTATATAAATTTCACTGTAACGTGTTGGCATTTATTGATATGTAGGAATATCTGGAACATTGAAGCAGAGAATAATATGAACTCAAATCCCATACGACGTATCAGTTCCATCAAGATTCCGGATAGATCTTGTTGATGAATGATAACTAGCATGTAACATAAGGTTATAGTTTTTTATCAACCATTTACTTACTTACACCTGTTGCCCCTTATAGAGGTGAACAGGCTACCCATCAGCATTCTCCATCCAACTCTCTCCTGGACAATCCTTTCCAGCTCTTTCCAGCTGATATTCTTCCTTTTCATGTCTACTTCCAATTACCGATGCAGTGTGTTCTTTGACCTTCCTTCTTTCTGTTTCTACTCAGGATTCCAAGTCATTGTTTGCTTTGTGATGCAGTTTGATGATTTCCGTAATGCATATCCTATCCACCTTCATCATCTTTGTATGTTATGTCTGGTATGTTCTTTTCTACAATTGGCTGTTGCCGATGGTTTCCGGTCCACAGACATTGAGTATATTGTGCAGACAGTTGTTTAGAAATGCCTATATATTTTGACGATGGTTGTACTATTTCTCCAAGTTTCGACACGGTTCAGTAGAAGTATTGAAGATTTTGAATTTGTTATTGGTTGGCAAACAGTTGTTCTGAGTTCTACATGTTTTTCAATTTTAGGAATGTTGTCCTTACTTTGCTAATTCTCTCCTTTAAGTCTGCATTCGACCCTCGTTGTTCATCGATGATGATTCCCAGATACATGAAAGATTCCACATTCCCAGAGCTTCTCCATCAAGTGTGATTGAGTTGGTGTTCTCCGGGTTGTATTTGAGAATGTTGCTTTTTCCTATGTGTATGTTTAGACCTACTGATTCCAAGACTGCTGTCACATATATTGTCTTGACCTGAAATTGTTTATGTATATGGGATAGATGAACCAAGTCATTTGAGAAGTCCAAATCGTTTAGTAGCATGCAAGTTGTCTACTGTATTTTGTGATTTCTCTCAGATGTGGAGGTCTTCATGATCCAACCAACCATTAGAAGATAGAGAAAGGAGGAGAGTAAGCAGCCTCCTTACTTGGAATGCGCCTCCATGCATCACTTTGCACTGTAGTCCTTCTCATGAATTCCAGATGATGTTGATGATTTTCTCAGGTAATTCATAGTGTTGAAGAAGTTTTTATAATTTCTCCTATTCACACTGTCAAATGCTTTCACATAATCAAGGAAGTAGACGTATAGCGACAAGCTTCATTCAACTGATTGCCCAACGACGATCCATAGTGTCGTGATTTGGCCTGTGCCAGACCGATCCTTACGGAATCCGGTTTGTTAATCTCGGAGTTTGGCGTCTACTGAATCTTTTGTCCGGTTCAGAAACACTCTGTTGAAAACGTTTCCTGGTACCGATAGTAGTGTAATTCCTCCGTAGTTCTCGCATTTACTCAAATCTTCTTTCTTTGATATCTTGATGAGATATCCTTCTTTTCTGTCTATCTGTGACACTTGTACCCCCTTCCCAAGTCTTCCTGAATCAAACGTGAAGCGTATTTGCAGTTACTTCTATGTCTGACTTTAGTGCTTCGGCTGGTATATTGTTAGGTCCTGCTGCTCTCTCACTCTTGATTTGTCTGATGACCAATCTGATTTCTTCGATCGTTGGTGAAGTGATATCTATAGGAAGGTCTGTAGGTGCAGCTTCGATATCCGATGGATTCCATGGAGCTGATCTACTTTAGAGTTTTTTCAAAGTGTTCCACCCATTTGTTCCTCTCTCTCTGAGTTTCAGTGATTTTCTTATCAACTACCTTCAAAACAAATTACAACTAACAAGAGTACAAATGAAACTGAATAATTCTGACCGATGATTAACAGAATTTTATCAACACCAAGTATCATTCAATAATTAACTAATTTAAACAAATTCACTTGGGATTGTTTTGCTTGTATCTTCCCATTGAGTTTTTACTGAGTGAATTTAAATTCACCTCATGGCACAAGCAAGTGGCTATCAGGAATCAGTAGCTGAGTGGATAAAGCGATGGCGTTTGAAGGGAATGGTACTGGATTCGAGTTCCACAATGGACATCAACTGAGAGATAGAGGTACATCCAGCTGACGAGTTCCAAATAGGACGAAACGCGCGTTTTGGATTCCACTATCCATCTTTGCTTATAGTATAAACAAATTTTTAGCGGTAAATAAATGTTCAAAATAAATAATTCTATAAGTCTTCGATATTGATGTCAGTAGTTTTACTGGACACACCTCTTTGAAGTCTCTTGGTCAAACATCCGCACCACATCACGAGTGAATACACCGTGTTACGAATCCCTTTTAACTGTTAGTCAGCTTAGATCAAATGCTTCTTGATATATCGATAGCTTTTCAAATATATCTTTGAACTCCTTCATTTCCGACTTCTGATTTGATTGGTTTGGCACACTTCGATTAAAAAGGTGTTACTGGTTAAGATGTGTTTTTACTAACTTTCTATATGTTATGTCAGGAAATAGAAGTAGATATCAAATGGAAAGTGCTGGAAAGGATTGCGCAGGACAGAGTTGGATTGAGAATGCTGATGGGCGGCCTATGCTCCTCCACGAGGAGTAATAGACGTAAGTAAGTAATATGTTATTCTAGTACCTTTTAAACCTAATTGCTTACCGTAGGTACGGTTGTGTGTAGATGTATGTGATATAGATATATGATATCTATGTTGTAGTATATTCATTTAAAATTTCATCATAATTATGTAATGATGTGTAATACATTCAAACAAATCTGTCATCTCTAATATAGATTAACATAAGTGATATAGATAATGTAAACTAGATTAGTTGGATCAAGTTTTGCTTTTTTGTTTTTTTGAATCCCATTATCTATTGATCACATTTCTTGTCCCTTTTCAGTATGTATTCATTCTATCACAAATTGAAATCAAACCAATGATGAAATAAATTTATGTTCTATAAATAAAGATGGATGGTGATCAGTAGTTGAATCCAGGATGCGCGTTTCGTTCTATTTGGAACTCGACAGATGAATATACCTTGTAGATCACCAACGTAGATGATCTATGTCAAATGATCGGATGCCTACTCGATTTATGCGTGAGTGGTGTGACAAACTAGCTAACGTCGAAGTCACACTTCGCGGTCTGCACCTTACGTGGATTACCCCATTGATGTATCAAGGTACTATAGATGCTTTGAAGACTGTACAACACAGAGGACGTTATTACAGAAATAGATTAGTTAAAGTAGATACAAGCGAAGGTAATACCACTGCCGCATGGGCCAGTTCATGGCTAACGATTAACTGATACGCTTTGGGGTCCTTGACCTTGACGAGGATCGATGATTTGTTCGATATTCAATGATCCAACTCCCGGATGATTTGGCTAGGGCTCAGTGGAGTTTCACTGGCCCTACAACCTGAATCCTAGACTTGTTGATATTCATTGTGGGACTCAAACCCAGTACCGTTTGCTTCAAACGTCATTATCCACTTAGCTATAGTGTTCTGATAGCCATTCACTTGTACAATCGGGTGAAATTTAAATTCATTTGGTGTTGTTTACTTGTATCTCCCGATTGTTGTTTAGCACTGCAATTGATCATTCTCTTGTTAGCGTATGTGCACCCTTTACAGATTTCTTCGACATTGCCTTAATTCACAAGCATTATAAGCAAAGATGGATAGTGGCTAGTAGTGGAATTCACGGCTTTCGTTTCGTCCTATTTGGGACTTATCAACTGTATGTACCTGCATGCCATAGTTACTTATAAAGCTTGTAACTTAAGGAAATATTGAGGCAATCCACATAGGAGCCACATATGTCAATAAGAGACAGATCAATTGTAGTCTTAAGCAACAATATAACGATACGAGTAGACAATACAAATTGAATTTATGAGAATATTAGTTATCATTTAGTTTGCTTTAGACGTTTTGTTCTTATTATTTACCGTAAATTGACAAATCGAATTATAAACATTACAGTAATTTAATAATTGAAATCATGTGTCAATTGAAACTAGACCACAATGGAAAACCTGGAAGCATTGGACGGCCATTTCGTCCAAATATGGAACTCCTCAATGATGCGGATCTACGATCCCGCATCAAAGGGGCTGCAAGCCAGGACCTCCGATCTTGCAATTGAACACTTAACCTCTACACCACTGAATCGGCATCCAACGACGTTAATGTCTTACTTCAACCAATCTAAGAAGTGAACATTACGATTTGTTATTTGAATGTGCTGTTAAAACCGTATGTATGCTATTTCAAACAGAAATAGGGGGATGACTAATATATGGATGACTTTTGAGCAACGCTAGACTGACTTTGAGAGTGTTCACCTAATAACTAGGACCGAATAAGTGTTATAAACCAGTGTGAGAATTTAAAATTATGATTTACCCTTGATGGTTAGGGTTAGGAATTAAATTTAGGGTTTTCATTACGAACTGGCATCAGCTATATTTCTACAACTCGATTTTACGAAACGGTTGAGTGAACTTCGTGTCAAAATCCAAGACCTGTTGTCTCATACCTGATTGGTTCGTCCATCAATTATAGTCTCACCGAAATAAAATATATTTGTTCTTTCGTTTCCACACCGATCATTCTCTGTTCACCTTCGATTGATAATACATACTACTGATATCGACAGATATCAGTAGCACACACCACAATACCGTATTTATTGAAAATTTAGTTTTTAGACTAAGGATAAACTTATGGATCTGAAAATGTATAACCCAATGATGATATATATTTGTTTCTTTTTATTTCGGATTGGTCAACGTAACGTTGAAAAAGGTCGTTTAGATTTTGAATCTTGTTTCGAATGTGGTTACTTACTTACTTACTTACGCCTGTCCTATCCACTTCCAGCACTTCTTCCTCATTTCTTTCTCTGATGAGATTCGGTCTGTTCTCTCCTACAGTAGGTTGTTGCTGATAGTGTCTGACAAACGAATCCGAAGTATTTTGTGTAAATAACTGTTAATAAACACTTGTATCTTCTGGATGATGGTATTCGTAGTTCTCCAAGTTTCTTCCCTATACAATAGAACTATCTTGACATTTGTATTGAAAATTCTGACCTTGGTGTTGTTTGACAGACAGTTGTTTTCAATTGCAGATGTTCTTCAAGTGTACGTATGCTGTTCTTGCTTTGCTGATCCTCACCTTCACATCTGCATCAGATCCTTTGTGTTTATCAATCATACTGCCCAAATATGTAAAGGTTTGTACATCTTCCAAATCTTCTCCGTTAGTTGTGATTGGATTGGTGCATGGTGTGTTGTATCGGAGAATCTTGCTTTTCCCTTTGTGTATATTGAGACATATTGCTGCTGAGGCTGTTGTTACACTGGTCGTCTTCTCCTGAATTTGTTGTTGCATTTACGATAGAAGAACCAGATCATCTGTGAAATCTAGACCCTCCAACTGCATCCTAGCTGTCCACTGTATCCCGTGCTTCCCTTCAGATGTTGACGTCTTCATGATCCAGTCGATCACCAGGAGAAAGAGAAAGGATGAGAGTAAGCAACCTTGCCTGAAACCGGTCTTTACTTCGAACGACTTTGTCAACTGTCCTCCATGAACGATTTTGCAGTTTCATCCATCATAGGAATTCCGTATGATATTGACTATCTTCTGAGTCACACCGTAGTGTCGAAGAAGCTTCCATAGGGTTGTTCAATCCACGCTATCAAATGCTTTTTCGTAGTCAATAAAGTTCATGTAGAGCGATAAATTCCATTCGAATGTGGTCATCTTTGTAAAGTAATTCAAATAAGTCAATCGAATTAAATGACATCGTTTTTTTTTTATTTGTATTCCAGTATCCTTTCATGTAAAGCTTTCCACTCTGTTTTTTAAAAGCATATTCCTAAGGTTAGTATTAATCTATTCAAATATGGGAACAATCCACTATTTTCATTGATCAGTTTGTATATATATATATATATATATATATATATTCACTTATCCAGTTATTGATTTTAATATCCTAATTCAATCAATTCGCACCACTAGTACCACCATCACCACCACCACCACCGCCAATAACAATAACAACAAAATACGCAATGTGCCACATTCAGAACTTTCATGCCTTAACGATTTACCACTTTTAGTCAAAGTTTTCTTCTTAAAAAAAAAGAAAAAAAGCACCACCACCACCACCAACAACAACAACAATGTAATGGAGACTATTTCTTTTTTTTTTTAATTTTTTTAATTAAGATCATTACTTTATGCTGTGTAAATTTTGACATTGAACTATGAATTAATGACAACAGTTGTTGTCGCTTTATCGATATATTCTACTTTCTATAATACACTTTTATATATCATTATATGACTGTTTGTGTGTATAAATGTGTGTGTGTGTGCGTGTGCGTGGGTGATGTTATGTGTGTGTGGGTGTGTAGAAATGGTTCTCTGTGTTGTTTCTGTTGTTTGATTAGATATTACTATCACTATGCATTTAGTAGTTTCACACAACAACAACAACAACAAAAAACAAACAAAAAGAAGTGACTAAATAATAAATAAAAATTATTATAATCAAATGTTATACTAAACACATGCTAGAAGGCCTATATATACCATATTCATGTTCTTCATTGCGATGGTCATTCGATTTTTAGAAAATGATATAGACTAAATTTGCAATAGAAGTGGCAGATCCTTATTAGCTGACTTGTTTGATATGATCTTGATAAGTTTTGATAATTGAACGCTAGATTTAATTTCTAAGCTCTTTTAGTAACCCCCTCCCTCAGGTTAGAACTACACAACAACTTGAACACAAGAGAGAAAAGGCGTGAAATATGTATGAAACATTTTATTCGGAAGGTTCATTTATCTACAGAAAATATAGGGTTTTTATAGTATATTTAGATGTCCCTGGGTTTCCTGAAAATTCTGGAATTCCACCAAATATAGTAGCAGTGCAGCAATCATTCACTCAGGAGTTCAACACGTGATTTTCTAACTTCTAGATGTTTCTCACAAAACTTCTAGTGAACACTGATTGAATAAAATGTTTCTTAGTGTTTTCAGAACCTTTCTTGGTTTTTTTTTTTTCGAGGAGTTTTGTGGATCTCCCCAACAGACCTAAGATTAGTCATTGAAGTGCATTGGAAAGTTTGGTATCAGTAGTTGTCCTCAACTTGAGTGACCATTCACTTGACCATAACCTTTTATTAGCTTACAGAAGAAAGAAATGTAAGGGTGAGTATGTAAACACGTTGTAGCAATATGTACACTGAAAACAGACTGTTTATCAATCTCGGACTCCCTAGTTTCAGGGATTTTAACTAAATAATATACTCTACCATGCATCGTTGAACCTTATTCTATGAGGGATGTTTCTCTCGTTTGATAGATAGATAGATAGATAGGTAAGTAGATCGTTTACCATTTGTAGATTCAATGAAGTAACATTAGATCCATGTCATATTGCCAATCAAGATGAATGCATACTTGTCTTGAAGGACTGATCATTGGACTTCTAATAGTCAGTAAAAAATGGTCACTCTCAATGAAGGATGACACGATTGATAAGTAGAAAGCAAGAATCACACCACGCGACTGCATGGTCACGCTCTGTACTTCTTCACTCTCTCCTGGCGGATATGCAATACACTTTATAGTTCCCTATTTGTATTGCTTCTGTTGTGTTGATTGGATTTTACCGTTATTATACATTTGTATATAGACTATTTAGTAGAAATATCATCATTGAAAAGTTTCACACAACAAAACAAAACAAAAGGTGACTAAAATTAAACAAAACAACATAATACCATGACAACAATTATTATAATCAAATGTTGTATTGAACACATGTATTTTTTCTTTTTTTTTCTTTCTCTCCCTCCCCCCTCTCTCTCCCTCTCTTGTAGTTCTTAATAGATTAACTAAAAAAGTATGTATAATTTTTTTGTATTTTTTTTAAAGATTTTTGTGAAATCTTTCTTTGATTTTTATCTGGAAAACTGAATTTGATTTTAATCAGAAGGGGAGTTTTGTGGATGTTATAGTAATTGCAATAGTTGAGATCATGAGTCAATTAAAGCTGGACCATCATGGAAAGCCTGGAAGCACTGGACGGCCGTTTTGTTCTAGTATGGGACTCCTCAGCAGTGCGCATCCACCATTCCGCGTCGTGAGATTCAAACCCAGTATATTAGGTCTGGCTCAATATCGAGGATTGATGAACGCTAGACAATAACACTATTGGATTATGAATCAGTGGTCTAAGGTTGAGTCATTCGTGCGCCAGACTGAAGATCCTGGGTTCGAGCCTCACGTGTGAGATCGTGGATGTGCACTTCTGTGGAGTCCCATACTAGAACAAAACGGTCATCCAGTGCTTTCAGGTTTCCAATGGTGGTCTAACATCAGTCGGTCCATGATCTCAAATAAAAAACTTAATAATCTCCACAACTCCTATATTGACAAAAATTATTTATTTAATGAATATGGTGAACAAAATTGAATTTTGTGATAACGGCTAATTAATAATTATACAGAAGTAATAACAACAGATTAATGAATATGGAAGATAAGAAACAGAGTTACGATTACAATAAGCTAAATTATTAAATATATTGCTTTTGTACACATGCCTCCTAATGCCCTGATGCAGAAGAGAGTGAGGAGAGTCATCTCTCCCTCTCGAAACGCTCTCATATAGCCATGCGTATATAGCCTCTGCCAGGGAAGTACTACTCACTGCCTCCTCGTGGCGGGGATGTTGTTTACGAAATCGAGGGAACGAAAAACAAATGTCTAGCAGAGGCTTTAACCGAGTTGATGGACGCAGAGGGTTTACCTGGGGGAGTTGGAAAACCCTCATTCCAAACAAATGGTTCACATGGGCTTCAGGATCCTAAGGAAACAAATGGCTTATTAACCTATTGTTGGTTACTGGCTACCATAAGATTGCATCTCCTGATGTTGCTCCACTACATTGTGGATTAGACCTTTTGGTCGGAGGCTCTGAGTGTGGCCCCCTAAGAAACCCATCTGCTTTGGTTTGGGCATCCGGGCAGCATCCCAGCCCACAAACAAATCAAGTGATTCGTGTGGCGTATATGTATTCGGTGCCCCTTTTTACCAATATTTATGTGTTCAAATAAATAATATTCAGAAAAAACCAGATCATAGTTCGACTTCATGTAGGGGTATGAATTGTTATTGTTGAGAAATCTTAAACAATTCTCTATATTATTTGTGTAAAATGTTATTCGAAAGTAGCTCAGCAATTGCTATTTCAATAATTCCAACATATCATCCAGTAAATTCGTCTGGACTTACATATACAACCATAGTGTATATATAATCATGGACAGGTGGCCACACTTTAACTTGGTTCATAGGATTCGATCTTCACTAAGAAGGACCTGATATATATGACAGTGATCACCACCTAGTGATCAATCAATTGTAAATACATCTTAGTCCTACAGAAGGTCAGTCGTGACCCGGATAGTTTGGTGGTAACATCTCTGACTGTTAAGCTGGGTGACACGAGATCGTAATCCATCAGGAGCATCAGTTTCCTCAAGATTACAGGCACATTTTGCTGACAGATGCCAAGTAGCACGAAACCTAGGTCCATGATTTCCTGTTGACTACCTCCAACCACCATCTTAATGTTTTCTAATTTAGCAGTGAAAATTAAACAAACATAGCAACAATTACTGTTAAATAGTCATTTGGTTGATGCATCTCGCTCATACAAAGAGTAAGCAATAATTGAAATAATTGATTGATAACATTCCTGACTGTAACATTAAATGACATGGTTCCAGGTCACTGCTTTTTAACAAATTGTTGTGTATGCTAATTATGTTTACGGGTATAAGTAGTATATAATACCAGTTTGAAGAAGAATGTCTGTGAGCGTAAGGTTGAAACGATTGAAATGAAGAGAAGAGAAAGGGAAACTGAAAGTCATCAAGATAACAATAGGAATGAAGGAACAATGAAACTTGTAAGAGACAATTTAAAGAAGATGTGCAATTAATGTATTCAACGTATAATTTTCACATTTTACTTAATTATCGATTACCCCTAATTAAGTTTCTGTCCCCTACAATATCAGTTTCCTCCCCCCTCAAGATGATAGATATTTGATGTTGACTAGAATCAATCACTTCAGTATCTTGATCCAGAAACTTCTTCAACGTGTATCTAGTCATCATGATTTTGAGTAACAAAAACTGGTGATTATATTGCAAATATCTAATCGACATAATTCAACTAACACTAAGATATAAACCATATGATAGTGGATACTACTTATTCATTACCTGGACAGTATCATTGATGAACACGGTGGATCTGATGTGAAGGCACGGATCAGCAAATCAAGAGCAGCATACTTACAATTGAAAAACATCTGCAACTGAAAACAACTGTCTGTCAAACAACATCAAGGTCAGGATTTTCAATACAAATGTCAAGATAGTTCTATTGTATAGGGTACAAACTTGGAGAACTACGAATACTATCATTCAGAAGATACAAGTGTTTATTAACAGTTATTTACACAAAATACTTCGGATTCGTTTGTCAGACACTATTAGCAACAACCTACTATGGGAGAGAACAAACCAGATCCCAGTTGATGAAGAAATCAGGAAGTGCTGGAAGTGGATAGGACACACATTCAGAAAGGTACCCAACTACATCATAAGACAATCAATTACTTGAAATCCTCAGGGTCAAAGGGAAAGAGGAAGACCAAAGGACACATTACACCGAGAAATAGAGACAGACATGAGAAAAATAAACCAAAATTGGATAGAACTGGAAAGGAAGACGAAGGACAGAGTGTGTTGGAGAATGCTGGTCGGCGGCCTATGCTCCATTGAGGGTAACAGGCGTAATTAAGTAAGTAAGTAGGTAACTACTTATTCATTGTATACTACATAAAGATAATACTAAGATATGAAAAGTCATTTAAAAAATATTTTTAGTAAATAGAGAATTACATCTGAATCACAAAAATTCATAATGGATTTTACGAACATCCTCACACACACACACACATTCACACATACGCACACACGCATACACACATAGAAGGACAGTTCCAAATTTGTTGTTATGTCCTAGTTCTATTCAACATAAGACTCTGTTTCTTAGTTAAGAGATGCACTATACAATTAATGTATCATTAAATGTGTGTATGTGTGTGCGTGTGTGTGTGTATGTGTGTGTGTGCTTGTTTTCGTCAGTTATTATAAAAAAATAAAAATAAAAATAACAAAATTGAAATAATTTCGTTGATCTTATCTAAAAATAGAATTTTTTTCTTAGAAATAGTTACTTTTGGCCAAACTTATTTTGGGACTTATTTTAACCTCGAATCCTTTATTATGTATTAGGAGAGAGAGAAAATAAAGGCTAAAACTATGGTATATGTGCATGTGTGTATGTTTACTACTGATATTGACAGTTATAAGTAGTATGATTCATTAATCGAAAGTGAAATATGTGATGACAAAATGGTTAAGAAGATTGAAGAGAAGAGAACGAGAAAAGAGAATGATTGGTGTTGAAACAGAGGAACTATGAAATCTGCAAATGATTGATTAATATTTTGCAAATGAACTATTTATTGTATGGTTCTAAGTTTGTACTAATAGATTGTGAAATGAAATCGGTTCTTGAAAAATCAAAACAGAGATATACTGTGATATGTGCTACTAATATCAACAGATATAAGTAGTATGTATTATCAATCGAAAGTGAAATGTCTCACAGCATAAGGTTAAGGATATTAA